AGCAACGCGCTCTTCGTTCTTCAGGAACGTGCAACGGGCGACGACTCTTCTCAGGCGTAACGGGCAACACGATTCGGGCATAACATCGATTCGGGTATAACATTGCCCTCCCTCTTATAAATTGTCGTCCCGACAATTCTTGGAGAATTAGAAACGCTCAGGCTCGAAGAAATTCTGGGGTTCCCACCAGCTTCCTGCTCCCTTACTGTGCTGCTGCCACAGTTTTTCTAGAGCACTGGATTTCCTGGGACTTTCTCTGAGGCCTCCTGATCTTCCTCCTTTCTGAGCAGGACCTCTCTTCAGTCCCTCGGAGGGTAGTTAAGCCTCCGGAGGAACACCAGCCGGGCATCCCCTCACCTTCAAGAAAGGAGCTCCAGGATCCTCTTGACTCTTCTCTTGAGCCTTGCGCTCTTGTCTCTTCGCTTTTCGGAGAAGGGGGGGGAAGAATAATAATTGCGCCGCAGTACCTCTGCCCCATACTCCCCCCCTCGGCATTTGCCCACCGTCCCGAGGAAAAACCACGGCTCAAAAACCTCGGGCGAGGCGGTCTTCTTAATAAAAAAGATTATGTTGTTAATGACTGCTTCCTGATGTTGTTGCCGCAAGTCAGCCCTCCATCAGCTCTGTCTTACGCTGCTGCCGAAAGCCGCCGCCAGAAGTTGTTATTGTCGTAATACCTCGTATTATCGTCAACTGGATCTTAAAAGAAAAATCAAATTAAAAATAACCAACCTTATATATAAATATCAGGGCTCCAAAATTTCTTTAATTAACTCTTTTTACATTAATTGTCTCTCCAAATAAGGTGCTAATCTATCGGAATGAACAATTTTATTTTTATGTTTATTCGACTTGTGAATACAATAAACCACTTCACTATGTTTTTTTACTATAGAGTATGGACCTTCCCAACTACACTGTAATTTAGGAGCCTTTCCTTTAATTCTTCGAGAATTGTACAACCACACTCGCTGTCCTACTTCGAAATCTATTCGTCTGGTCTTTTGATCGTACCAGGATTTTGTCTGTGAAGATTTAATATCCAAACGTCTCCTTACGTCCTTATGGAGTTCCTTCAGCCTTCTCTTTACCTTACCGGAATACCCCTCAAATGAATCTGACCTCTCCTCATCAGGTGGATTACCACGTAATAAATCCATTGGTAATCTGAGATCCTGCGCAAGATAAAGCTCCGCCGGAGACACACCAGTGGTCTCATGTTTAGAAGTTCTATACGCCAGTAAATATAGCGGAATCCATCTGTCCCAATCTTTCTGGTTTCCTGAGATGAATTTCGCTAAATAGTTGGAAATTGTGCGATGTTGACGTTCCACTGGTCCATCTGACTGTGGAAGAGGGGTCGTCCTCGTCTTTTTAATCCCTAAAACATGCGACAGCTCACGGAAGACCCGCGACTCGAAATTCCTTCCCTGATCAGTATGAACTTCAAGAGGAACTCCATGCCTGGAAATAATCTGATTTAAAAACGCTTCTGCAATAGTCTTTGATCTAATATTTTTCAAAGGAATAGCCTCTACCCATTTAGAAAAACAGTCTACAACAACTAGCAAATACTTATTCCCGGAAGAGGTCACGGGCAGAGGACCAAGAACGTCCATCTGCACTCTCTCGAAAGGAGCTCCAACGTTGTAAACCTGCAGAGGAGATTTTCCCTTTTTAGGAGGACCCTTTCTCGCCGAACATACCTTGCAAGTTTTACACCACATCTTGTTTACAAGTTGCCCAATAGAAACGTTTTCGTAACTTCTCTAACGTTTTGTTTATACCAAAATGCCCTCCCGTGGGAGAATTATGTACCTCTTCCAGAATTCGTTTAACTTGACTTTTGGGTGTCACCAGTTGAAAAATTTCCTTCCTCAAATTCGGGGCCTCCCATCTCTTGTA